TAGTTAATAGTTGCTCCAAAGAGATAATTTATACAGATTTATAAAAGGTGAAAAGTAGATAAATTTCATATGAATGACTCCTATAGAAAAGAAAGTTTTATCCAAAGGTTTTGCCATTTTTATCCAATGGGCAGTGATTGGTGAAATTTTTAAAATAATGAAAAATAACAGCCTGAGAACACAAATTATACTTGGAAAAATGGATTTTTGAGTTTATTGCTAAAAGGCCTTTGTTAGTGGTCTTATAGAATGGCCTTCAAACTGGCCAGTACGTTTTAATTTTAAAAACATTTCAATGTTTTTAGGTGATGTGGACATTTTCCGAGTCTCCAGATTCTCTTTTTCTTTATGTTACATGGTAGTGACCAGTTTGGACATGTGTGTGTTTGTTACCTGTAAACAACTGTCATTCTGGCCATACAATACCTACCCCCTGTGCTTTTTTTAATAGGCTACTTTGGGGAAAAATCATTTAAATCTTAGATGAAAATTGCAAGTGTTTGTTAGTATTTTAGTGAGGGGAAGGTGCTGTTTTTATATCTTATTTTTATTGTAATAAATACATAGATAACATAACATTTGGCATTTCTACAGTTTTCACATATACAGTTCAGTGACCATGTTCATAATGTTCAAACATCGCTATAATATTTTGTATTTTTAAGATAATCTTAAAAGAAAATGTCTAGTATGAAGTAGCAGAAACAGAATGAGGTATATAAACAAATTATATACTAGAGATAAAATAAACCTCCACCTCTCTAAGCTAAATCTTTAAGCTAAAAAGACCATGAAGGAAATGTGCTGCACTCTGGTTTGATGTATCAAAGGTTGGCATCTCAACTTCATGAATCAGGTAAGTGAAGCTCAGGAGAGGTTTCATTGATGCCGACTTGTTGATGCAGACTGGTGGATGAAGAAGGAGAAACGAAATCCTGCCCTCTGCTACTTTAGCCATTAACTAGGCCCCTGCTGGACCTGGAATCTTGATAGAGGGAAATTGAACATTGTCTTTATAACTGATATTGTTAAGAGTTGTCAAGTTGGTAGAGTCAGTTCCAACTTACAGCTACCCTGTATAGGGTTTCCAAGAAGCTGCTGGTGAGTTTGAACCGTTGACCTTGGGATTCAAACTGACCTTGCAGTCCAGTGCTTATCCTATACTAGGACTTGTTATTATTGATTGGGTTTTTGTCCTTCCTGAACACAGTAATTTAAAAAATAAGTAAGTATTCACAAGCTATTCGTTTAAAAAATATATAAACCCCATATAATTGTATTTTTCTTTTTAAATGAACAGTTTGTGAATACCTAATTATGTTTTAAATTACTGTGCCCAGGTGGGATGTGGAAGTTTTCATGTCATTGATCTTTTCTAAAAGAAAATGTTGATTTTGAAAAGCATTTTAAAAAGAAAGTTGGGTGAAAAAAAATTGCAACTAGACAGATATTAAAAGGTACCATTACTATCATTGAACTGAAGACAGTTTTACTGTCATTTAATTGAACGCTTTCCTGCTGTCTCTAAATGAAATACAAGTACCTGTTTTCACAGTTGGTAAATGAAGAACTGTTCAGTTTCTGCCCCTTGAAAATCGCATGAAGGAAATATTACGCTTTGATCTACCTTGTGTATTCTATAGAGAGAAATTTAGTTTAAGGTAAAAACTTTGCACTTCATTCGAAAGTTCGTAGAAAGGTTTCTAACTTGCCATAAATCCTACCTGTATCTTAATAAGGAATGGTCTTATTAAAATGATATAATGAAAGTTATTTTAGAGTTGCCTTATTTTTTACCATTAACTTTCTGGTTTCCACTTCTGTATTGTCACTCCTGTTTCATCCCCAAAATCTCCTAGTCATTGTGGTTAAGTGCAGTTGTGTTGGTTCCAACTCATAGTGGCCCTATATAGGGTTTCCAAGGAGTGGCTGGTGAGTTTGAATGCCTGCCTTGTGGTTCAAACCAACCTTCTGGTCCAGTGTTTTTTCCTACAGCACCACATTAGAACTCCTAGATTGCGCGTTTAGTGTATTTATGACAGTTGGTTAATGATCTTAACTGGAAAACATCGATTCACCTACACATGCTCTTGTAAATGAAATAATAAGCCATATGCAAGTAATATATGGGAAACTTGGCGTGTTGACTGTGTTGTTGTTAAGTGCCGTTAAGTCGGTTCTGACCCATAGCAACCCTGTACAGGGTTTCTGAGGCTGTAAATCTTTACAGGAGCGGAAAGCTTCGTCTTTCACCCATGGAGCGGCTGGTAGTTTCAAACTGCTGACCTTAAGGTTCACAGCCCGATTCATAACCACTATGCTACCAGAGCTCCTTATGTTGACTATGTTGTTGTTAAGTGCTGTCGAGTCGGTTCCGACCCATAGCGATCCTGTACAGGGTTTCCGAGGGTGTAAATCTTTACGGGAGTAGAAAGCATCATCTTTCTCCCTCGGAGTGGCTGGTAGTTTCGAACCACTGACCTTAAGGTTCGCAGCCCGATCTGTAACCACTATGCTACCAGAGCTCCTTTATGTTGACTATAGAGTGTTCATATTGTAGTCAACCTAGGAAGAGTGAGCCATGTAACCTTTCTCTAAGTAATGATGGGACTTTTTTCAACAGTTCCCAGCTTGGTCTTCCAAGATTCTATGAGATTTTATTTGACAGTTTTTTTTACCTTGTAGACCTGTGAAATACAGTTCAAAAGGTTATATTGTAAGTTCGCATGTATTCTAGCTATCAATTGGTATGCTCCAAGAAAAGATAATAGCTTATTTTCAAATCTTAAGTTAGATTAAAGCTTAAATTTCAGAATTACATTCATGTGTCCTGGAGCAAGTTATTCTGTTCTTTTCCCCAACTATGTGGTAGGGATAATAGCATTTGTAACACAGGACTATTATTGTTAAAAAATTGGAACTACTATACCTTTCTGTTCTAATGCAGATTTATTTTCAATTTTATGGTTCATTGTCATTTCTGTACAGTTTCACTTAATTGAAAACATTACAGAAATTGCCTCATTATAATTCAGTCCCACAATCTTCAGTTTCATAGAAACAGATGTATTAATCTATACTTAAAGAAAACTTTTATTTCAATTGCTAATTGTTTTTCTCTTTTTGAAATGTGCTGAGTGTGCAAGCAAGTTCAAAGAAGCTACAATTATTGTAAAGATAAAATGGAAAACCGTTGTCCTCAATATATACAGTATTGACTTGGATTTCTCCGTGGTGGTGGTGTGCCGTGGAGTCACTTCCAACTCGCAGTGACTCTGTATAGGGTTTCTGAGGCTCTAAATCTTTACAGGAACAGAAAGCCTCATCTCATCTTTCTCCTGCGGAACGGCTGGTACTTTTGAACTGCTGACCTTGAGGTTAGCAGCCCAATTCCTAACCACTATGCTACCAGAGCTTCTTGGTATTAGTAACCTCCCAGTTTCCATTTGTGTTGTCAACAGCTAAATTGGCAACAACATGCTTGCTCTTCACTCCAGATAAGAATGTAGTTGATTTCTAAGGTCACTGGAGGTTTAGTGTCCATTTTTGTCCAATTGAAATTGTTTGCTTCCAAAGTATAAAGCAAATGTTGATCGTTTACATTAGAATAACACACTAAAATGTATTTGATTATAAGATGCTTACCTCTAGAAGACTGTCATTTTGACTACTGTGTGAGTATGCTCCACAGTATACCAGGAAGAGATGACTAAATTGTATAATTAAGCATTTTAAAAATGTTTTCCAAAAAGGTGATTTCTGTGGATTGATATGTCTAGTAGAGTGTAATATTTAATGTCCAGTCAGTTTGTCCATGGAAGAACTACCATTTATTTTTCTTCTGTGTTCACTGTAAGATATCATTCATTCTATCACATTTTTATTTTTTTAAATATGTTTTGGTTTTTACTTAGGAATGACACAATTTAATATTGCCAATAATATTTTCCCCCTAACTTAAGAAAACAAGAAGCAGAGGTCCAGGCCTAAGAAACCAAGGAGAATAAGAACTGAGGAAAAAGAGCAGGAGGAAGAATTGGAGGGCCCCGTGATTGATGAATCGGTCCTTTCCGCGCAAGAGCTCTTGGGCTTACAGCAGGCTGAGGAGAGACTGAGACAAGACTGCATTGACAGGCTAAAACGGGTAACATCTTTGGGCATACCTTAGATAAAGGCCCAGTTTCAGTCTAAACTGTGTTAATAATCGGGCTCAGATGTTTTGGTGAATTAAGTATCCTACTCGGGTTATTAGTAGTTAAATACCACAAGTTAAAAATTATATTCAATTGGATATCGTAGAATTAAAGTAATTGTGATTCTATTTAAATCAAAATGTATATACTGAACCTATATAGTGATACAGGGAGACGAGCACATAATGACAATTTTTAAATAAAAGAGAAATCCGTTTCTAGCTAATATTTACCTGAATGTTTAGAGATACATCTGTCCATTTATATATCTCTTCAAATCCTAGCAACCACAAAGCTACCCTACAGCAAAATACACCTGCCAACTCTGTGATGTTTACTTGGAATCCATTGCATTCGCTCATAAGCATATCAAAGAGAAAAGGCACAAGAAAAACATGAAGGTAAGTTTAATGTAGCATAAACAAATAGGAATGTCAGTTGTTATTACTATCCTTGTCTTCAATTTCTTCTCCTTAAGGCTCTGATCCTAATCAAACCCAAAATCTAACCCTCAGCCATCAAGTCAGTTCCAACTCATGCTAACCCTATGTAGCGTTTACAAGGCTATAAAGAAAGCTTGTTTCCTTGGAGCAGCTGGTTGGTTTGAACTGCTGACCTTGTGGTTAGCAGTCTTGCACCACCAGGGCTCCTTATGATCTCAGTAGCTTTGCTAATTGTTTTTGTTGATTTGTTGTTGTTAAGTGCCATTGAGTCGGTTCTAACTCATAGTGACCCTATTTAGGGTTTCCTAGGAGCGGCTGGTGGGTTTGAAACACCAACTCTGCAATTAGCGTGTGGTTAGCAGTCCAGTGCTTCTCCTACAGCACCACACTAGAATTCCATTGATTTGTTTGAACCCTAATGTTTTGTACTTCATAACTTATGCTTACTGAATTTATTTTAGCCAGAATGCTATGTACTTGTCAAATGTTTTGCCGGGCAACCCTGTGAATATCAAGGTACTATCAGTGTATCAAGTTATTGATGTTGTTGTTGTTAAGTGCCATTGAGTCGGCTCCAACTTGCAGTGACCCTGTAAAGGGTTTCCTACAAGCCCCTATTGGGTTGAACCACTGACCTTGCAGTTAGAAGTCCAGTGTTTATTCTATAGTGTCTCACCAGTACTCCAAGCCACTGATGGGACCAAGATACAGGTCCTATGCCAATAATAAACCAGAACACCAAAAACAAACCCACTGCCGTCTCCAACTTATAGTAGCCCTTTACGATAGAGTACAACTGGTCCCCTAGGCTTAAATATTAACGGAAGCTGACTACCTCAGCCCCAGTGGTTAACCCACTATGCCACTAGAGTTTCTTATGCCAGTAATTATTAGTCGATATCGCTGCTTATAATGTTCTGTTATTGTACTTTCTATCTATTCCTGCCTATTCTGTATTATCACTCATTCATGTTATGCTCATTAGAAGTGTATATGTTGATGATATAACACAGCAGAGATGAGAGGAAGGATTATAAAAAGGATTCCAAAAAAATTCTAGTTTTGGCTCAGTGAAGTGGTAGAAGGTAAAACAATGTGTGTGCGCCATTTTTAATCTCAGTGTTTATCTCAATAGAAGAAGCAGGAAGAAGAGTTGCTCACTACATTACCCCCACCAACACCCTCGCAGATAAATGCAATTGCCGTTGCCATTGACAAAGTGGTACAAGAGTTTGGCTTACACAATGAGAACCTGGAACAAAGACTAGGAATTAAACATATCATGGAAAATGTGTTCAAAAGCAAGTTACCAGGTATTTTCTAGATTTATTTTTCCTCTGGTTACCTAAAAGTACCTCATTCATTTTAACCACTGATAGTAATTTTCACATACTAAACACTGATTTTGAGCCCTGGTGTAGAGCTGTGGGTTAATGTGCTGGACTGCAGAGTTGGTTTGACCACAAGATTGGTGGTTCAAGCTCTCCAGACACTCCTTGGAAACCCTATACAGGGTTGCTAAAGTTGGAACTGACTCGATGGCACTTAACAACAACGAAACACTGGTTTGCCATGACTTAAGGCTCTTGACTTTCTTTGTTTTTTTCCTGGGGCTTCCCCCAGATATCAAAGATTTATATTCATTGTCACTAAACGTATTTTCTTTATAAATGCTGTTGTATACACATGTATTAATATAAGCTGCTATTAAAGCCAAAACCCATTGCCCTTGAGTTGATTCTAACTCATTGTCCCTGTATGACAGAGTAGAACTGCCCCAGGGTTTCTAAAGCTGTAATCTTTATGGAAACCAATTGCCATATTTTCCTCCTTAGCATGGCTGGTGGGTTCAAACTGGCAACTTTTCCATTTGCCTCCAAGTACTTTAATCATTCCATCACCAGGGCTCCTTAACCTTCTGTTAGCAGCCTAGGAGTCCTGGTGTGGCGCTGTAGGATAAGCACTAGACTGCAAAGTTAGTTTGAACTGCAAGGTTGATGGTTCAAATCTTCCAGCTGCTCTGCTTCTCAGAAACCCTATACATTGTCGTTATGAGTCGGAACCAACTTGGTGGCACTTAACAACAACAATATAAGCTAAGGACTTCTGGTATGGTGCTATAATATCAGCACTGGACTGAGAACCACAAGGTCAGCAGTTCAAACCTACCAGCTACTCCTTGGAAACCCTATACAGGGTCGTTATGAGTTGGTACCGACTTGATGGCACTTAGCAACAACAATATAAGTTAAATTCCCATTAGGACACGTTCAAATTTATATATATATACATATATGTATATATATTTATTTACCCTTCTATCTCTAATTTGACACAATATTTTAAAATTAAAATAAGCAGAATATCTTTGGGATCATTTTCTGAGCATCTGAAAAAAGTTTTATTTTAGCCAAATTTAAACAAGGATTGTATCTATAATGAGCTGTGAAAACTAATTTATAATGTTTTGTTTTGGGGTTTTGTTGAATTTGTTTTACTGGCTCATAATAGAATGATTTGCTGTCTTCTGCCTGTCTGTGATTTTGGGCCTTTTGGGGGATAGGGAACAACTGTTTGGGGTATACTTTTTAGATACTAAGATCATGTATGGCAAATGTCTAATGAAACCTCCGACAGTCCTGGACAGTCCCCCAAACTTACTGGAGTTTCTATTTGGGTAAATGATTAGAATAGCTTAATCATTCTCAATCTTTACTGTGCATCAGAATTACCTGTAGAGCCTGGACAGCTATTTTTAGAAAGTTCAACAAGTAATTCTAATCCACAGCCTGGGTTGAAATCATTATGTAAATATGCTACTGTATCACTCTGAGAGTTATTTGTTCTTCTGAAGGGTCGTTTATAGCGTATTCTTAAAGTGGGAACAGTTGACCCATGAACAACATGAGGGTTAGGGAAGCCAGCCTCCCACGAGTTGAATTTACAGTTGACCCTTGAATTATATGGGTTTAAACTGCACAGATTGACTTATACAAGGATTTTTTTATACCTGTTGCTGCTATGGTGAGCTCCTGTTGCGAGTATCTGCTTACTGGAGTCTTCCCAGTTGCTGGAGAGACCAAGTGCTCATGCAGAGTTGATTAGCATCACATAGAGTTTTAAGTGGATACTTGAACTCTTGACTTGAACAGTCTCAACAGGGGGAAAAAAAAAGCCAAGTGTAAGTGGGCCCCAGGCAGTTCAACCCACATTGTTCAGGGATAGACAGTATATATACTTTCATAAGAATAGGGATAGTGTAGGCTCGTGATCTATTCATTTCTTTAAATAGGTCATTCTTCCTTAAGGTTGTAGAGATATTCCTGAAAAAATACTTTTAATTTTAATGATTTTTGCCATATATTTTCAATGTAAATTCAGTGTTCTTTGTCAAGGAAACTTGTTATAACCCAAAGAAAGTCTTTGTATCAGCAAAATTTTTTTTGTTTTAATCCCTTGATGTGAGAGGCTATATTGGCACAGTAGCAGTAAAATACTAAAAAAAACCCCAAAGTACAAGTTGTTTTTGTTGTCAAGGGATGTAGAGTCGATTCCGACCCATAGCAACCCTGTATAGGGTTTCCGAGGAGCGGTTGGTGAGCTTGAACCACCGACCTTGCTGTTCGAATGATTTTGCAGTCTGACTCATTAGCCTACAACACCTCACCAGAACTCCTAAAGAACATAAAAGTATGTTTAAATGAAGGCAGTTAACATATGCACATGTCTTCCTCAGAGAAATGAGTCTGGTACATAACTTTTTAAATTATATCAGTTATATTGAAATTATTCTCCATAGTTTTTCCATAGGAGTTATATTAGATGATTTATGTTCATGATGCAATGAGAAATTCATATTGGAAAGATATGCTGCAAGTCTTTTTTATGCTTACTGTTTTACTGAAATAGAACTTGTCACCTATATTTGTTTTCTAAAAGGTGAAAAGAAACATTAGCGCTGTTGTTGTTAGGTGCCATTGAAACAGCTACAATTCACAGCAGCCTTATGCACAACAGAATGAAACACTGCTTGGTCCTGCACCACCCTCACACTTGTTGTTCTGCTTCAGCCCATTGCTGCTGTCACTATGCCAATCCATCTTGTTGGGAGTCTTCTTCTTTTTCGTTGACTCTCTACTTTACCAAGCATGATGTCCTTCTCCAGTGGCTTGTCTTTCTTAAAAATTTGTCCTAAGTATGAGAGACGACCACTACTTATCTGTCAGTTTGTTGTACTGTGGTGGCTTGTGTGTTGCTATGATTTTGGAAGCAATACCATGGGTATTTTAAATACCAGCAGGGTCATCCATGGTGGGCAGGTTTCAGATGAGCTTCCAGACAAAGACAGACTAGGAAGAAGGAGAGACGAACTACTTCCGAATATTTAGTCACTGAAAACCTTATGAATAGCAGTGAAACACCATTAGATAGAGTACCAGAAAATGAACCCCTCGAGTTGGCAGGCACTTAAAATGCGACTGGGCAAGAGCTGTCTCCTCAAAGTAGAGTTGAGTGTGATGACGCATGTGTAGTAAAGCCCTCGGGACCTTCATTTGATGATAGGGCACAAGTCAAAATGCAGAGAAACGGCTGTTAACATCTATTAATAATCAGAACATGGAATGTACAAAGTATGAATCTAGAAAACTGGAAACTGTCAAAAATGAAATGGAATGTGTAAACATCGATATTCTAGGCATTAGTGACCTGAAATGGACTGATATTGGCCGTTTTGAATCTGACAATGACATGGTTTACTATGCCGGGAATGACAAATTGAAGAGGAATGGTGTGGCATTCATCATCTGAAAGAACATATCAAGATCTATCATGAGGTACAATGCTGTCTGTGATAGGATAATATCCATGCTCCTACAGGGAAGAACTGTTAATACTACCATTACTCAAATTTATGCAGCAACCACTAAAGCCAGTGAGGATGAAATAGAAGAATTCTACCAACTTTTTCAGTCTGAAATTGATTAAACATGCAATCAAGATATATTAATAATCACTGGCAATTGGAATGCAAAGGTTGAAAACAAGAGAAGAAGGATCAGTAGTTGGAAAATATGGCCTTGGTGTTAGAAATGATGGTGGAGATTGCATGATAGAATTCTGCAAGACCAATTGTTTGTTTATTTCAAATACCTTTTTTAAACAACATAAAAGGCAATTATACACGTGGACCTCACCAGATGGAATACACAGAAATCAAACTGACTACATCTGTGGAAAGAGACAGAGGAAAATCTCGATAGCATCACCCAAAAACAGGCCAGGGCAGATTGTGGAACAGACCATCAATTGCTCATATGCAAATTCAGACTAAAGCTGAAGAAAATGAAAACAAGTCCTCAAAAGCCAAAATATGACCTTGAATATATCCCACCTGAATTTAAAGATCATCTGAAGAACAGATTTGATATATTAGACGCTAAAGACCAAAGACCAGAAGAGTTGTGGGATGATATCAACAACATCATATATGAAGAAAGCAAAAGGTCATTAAGAAGACAAGAAAGAAGGAAAAGGTCAAAGTGTATGTCAGAAGAGACTCTGAAACTTGCTCTCCAGTGTCAAGATGCTAAAGCAAATGGAAGAAGTGAGGAGGTACAAGAGCCAAACAGAAAATTTCAAAGGTCAGCTTGAGAAGACAAAGTCAGATATTACAACAAAATGTGCAAAGACCTTGAGTTAGATAAACAAAAGGGAAGAACACACTCAGCATTCCTCAAGCTGAGGGAACTGAAGAAAAAATTCACTGTTGAAGGATTCTCTGGGCAGATTGTTAAATGATGCAGAAAACATCAAAAGGAAATGGTCTGTGTTCAGCCATTTCTCAAAGAGTTAGCGTATGATCAAGAGCCAGTGATCCTGAAGGAAGAAGTCCAAGGTACATTGAAGGAATTGGCAAA